GAGGGGACGACGGGAGCGGGCGGAGGAGCAACGTAGGTTGAGGATAGTCGTCGGATCGGGTTGTTGGAGTGGAAAGGTAAGGGAAAGTAGGAGCTAGTAGTTGCCGTCTGATGATGATGGTGTTGCGTTGTATGTGAATTGTGCAGAGGAAAAGCCGATGGAGCGGCAGAAGAAGTGGAATCGACATTCGGCTGAAACGTCGTCGGATTCTAGAAGAACGATTCCTTAATGGGTATGGGATTAGAAAGACGAAGAAGGCTCTAGAGCTTTGTTTTGGCCAACGGACTAACAGCCTTTGAGGGTGGACGCCTGGACGGATATATCGCTTGTGTAAAATTACTTCCACACCCCTTGACTTAAAATTTCAGAGAAAATTAATATTGTTATTATATTACTATTTTTTAAATGATGTAATAAGTAGGCTTTCTTGTGACTAATGTTTTTCTCAATAATTTTCTTATTATCATCAATTAATAATACAATATTTAAGTATTTAATATATATAAATACATTATCAATATAATATATTTAAATATTTAGATTGATTTTATGATTATTTAAAAAAAAATCTGATATTTTGTTTTCAAAATATTGAAATAATTATTGAAGATATACTTGGTAAAATAAGCCACTGCAATTAGTTGCCCATACCTAACCAATAACACGGCTAGAGCTTGCCTGGGTGGCCCAAGGTTGGTTAAGGTCAAGCCATGAAGCCCGCAATGGATGTTAATTTATAACATCACTGACCACAGGTCCAATAGAAGCAAGCCCAGCGGCCGATTATGTGGACTCATGTTAAGTTCCTATAAAACTCATTTATAACAATTATCATTATGTCGTCTATAATAACCTGGTAAATTAAGCAAATATTAAAACTACAAAAAATACCATAAAACATGGATAATAATATGACTTAACTTTTTCTTTTTTTTTTTTTTTTTTTGTGGTGGTGACTGGGTGTCTGAGCCAACTTGCGTTACCCTGACTAAATCCTTCGGGACCTTGAAATTAACGACTAATAAACCTTTCAATGCCCCCTCGTTGCAAACGGGGAATCGAACTCAAAATCTCTTAAGTAACACCCAAAAGTCTTTATCTCCTATTGATATATAAATTTATTATACTTACTACCTCAATCTCATGTATTATATCACACTAAAATTTATTGCGCATCTCAACTAATCCCAAGGTCTATGGAACCTTTACAAGTCCAAAAGATCAGGTAAACCACAATCTTATTGTAGTAGGTAACTTCAAAGTTGAACCTAAAAACTTAAAGAATGAGCAAACTTTTTTTAACCGTCAGGCCAATCCCTTGATTGACTAGCTAGTTCAATAAGTTGAATTTTGAAAAATTTCAGTTTTATAACATTTTTTTTTAATTATAATAATATACTTTTTAAACTGACATTTATTTATTTTTAGCGAGCCTGGTGTGTTTGCTCCATAAATAACAAAGCCTGAGAGCGCTTTGAACTGGTAAAACTAAAAGTAAAAGCATGTGCCGCTAATAGCCCACGTATTTTTTCATGCCTTAAATAATAAATAATTGTGGACCAAATCAACATCTATCTAACCCACCACATAGTTTATTATGTAAAATCTTCATCATGATTGTTCTCACTTTTCTAAGGAAACAAGAAAACGATACTTTATCAATGACTTATATATATATATTTTATCTCAGCTCTATTTATTATTATTTTTTTTCAAATACTTTAAATTTGACATGAATGGTGTGTCCTTATATTTTAGGCCATTTATAATGGAGAATATTGTTCTATTAAAAAAGGTGAATCTCCACTATTTACCTAGTGGTGGAGGTAACCTTGAGTCATAAAGTGGGGGGGTCTGTTAGTTATAAATACCCCGCATCCCTTTCATTCTTCACTCATCCAAGATTTTAGAAAACACATTATATCTCTCCACAACTCTCACTTCTCTCACTTTCATCCCTTTTATTTTACTTTCTCCACTTTATCCTTCCCGAATTATTACTGAATAGCACTACTAAATTATAACACGTTATCAGCACAAAAGCTTAACAAGTGTACGGCCAACGCCTACTGAAGTAAGTATTTTCACCCTACAAGTGTTATTTAATCTTTGTTTTCACCTTTATGGTCGGATTTATGTATACTATTAAATTCCACCTCCGGACGGATTTATTTATTATTGTTAAATTCCACCTCCATAGTCGAATTTATTTTATTACTGTTAAATTCTGCCTCCATGGACGAATTTTAGTTATTACTGTTAAATTTTGCGCTCCAAGGTCAGATTTATTTATTATTGTGAATTTCGCCTCCATGTTCAATTTATTATTATTGTTAAATTCTGCCTCTATAGTCAAATCTATTTACTATGTTTAAATTCGCCTCTAGTTCGAATCTACTTTTATTGTTAAATATGCCTCTATGGTCGGATCTATTTATTATTTAACATTCTGCCTCTATACTGATCTATTTTTATTATTGATATCGCCCTAATTGACATATCTTTTATTCTTGTTACATACAATCTTTATGTTAGTATGTTTTTAATTTTTGATAACCAATGTTAGCAATTGCTTCCATATTATATTTGATAAATGAACTTGAAGTTCCATAAATAATATCGTTTTAGAACTTGAAGTTCTAAATACTAATTACAATCATAGTTTGGTAAACAGACCAAACTTGGACCTAAAGTTCCATATCATAAAGATGAAGTCTGTAACACATCACTTATGTAAATTATTTTTTTAAGGATGACTCGAATTGAGACATCGATATCTAGTAATGGTAAGACATTTGTATGTGATAATGCAACAACGCACACCATCCTTTGAGATAGAAAATATTTCTCATGGTTTGACCTTTACCGAGACTAAAATAAATACCATATCAGGATCTGCAAACATATTGAGGGCTCGGAAGAGCATACTCCGTGTTACTAAGTGGAATTAATTAAGTATTTATGATGCTTTATATTCTAGCAAATCCAGAAGAAATTTGCTTAGTTTCAAAGATATACAACTCAATGGATACCACATTGAAACTTTAAATGAAAAGATGGAGAGTTTCTATGCATCACTGCTAATATTTTCATGTTAGAAGCATGTACTAGAGAATTCCCTACTTTCTCATGAAGGTTATTTACATTCCTGAAGAATGTTGAAGTCTATGTAGTTATGAACCAGAAGTTCACTGATCCTAAACTTTTTAGAATTTGGCACGACCATCTTAGTCACCCAAGATCTACTTTATGCGTAGGATCATAAAAACTCACATGGACACCCATTAAAGAACCTGAAGATTCTATCACTAATGAGAGTGCTTGATTGCTTGCTTACAAGGCAAATTAGCACTTAAGCCATCCATCACTAATTGGTGTAAATCCCCATCATTTTTACAAAGAATTCAAGGGGACATATGTGGACCTATTCATCCACCAAAGTGGACATTTCATGCTACTTTATGGTACTAATTGACACATCGGCAGATGGTCACATGTTTGTCTACTATCTACCCGTATTATTGCCTTTGCTATTTTTGGCACAAGTTATCAGATTACAGGCACACTTTCCAGATTACCCAATTAAAGCATTCGTCTAGACAATGCTGGCTGGTGAGTTTACCTCAAAGACATTTGAAATTTATTGTACAACAATGGAAATTGATGTTGAGCACCCAGTACCACATGTACATACCCAGAATGTTAGGCAGAGTCATGTATAACTAATCCCATCGCATAAATGTTAGTAACTAAATTCGCATAAATGATGTCAAAAGGCGGCTTTAATATTTACTAGTACTGTTCTCTCATTGGAGCGAGAAGGGGAAAAGAAAATGTTTTGTAGCATCGTTCCTTGAATTTTAATTTTCCCAAAGGTCATAAAACAATTGTTTATGTACGGTTTTTTAATAGAGTAAACGCCATGTTTCCACCCAAAGTTTCACGAATGTACAAGTTCCCACCCTGGTTTCATAAATTCCAAATTCTCACCTTAAATCAATACTGTTTTTTATTTTTGGGATCTAATAAGTGCTATTACCAAATTACCCTTGACAGATAAATTACTTTTAACCCCCAAATTAGCATAATTAAACAACCATCTTATTTTCAAATTTATTTCAACAATACCCCCTTCTTCAGCCATTCATTCATTTCATCCCCATCTCCAACCACCCAGCCACTGCCGCCACTGCTACCCAGCCACTATCACCATCCAACCAAATTAATAAAATATAGTATGAAGTTAGTAAATCCAATCAACCCATCATTTCCTAATTTCTTCCCAAATCACAATGGACTCTATGTTGTCATGTGCTAACAAACCTCCTATGGTTGTCGCTCTCGACTTGCTGTGATTTTAACCTTTGAATTTTATCCTCTAATACCTCCAATTCCACTCATCTTTCCTCACCCAAATTCATCTTTAACTCTGCCCCCTCCGTATTCCAAGTCTCTGTAGTATGATTCCTACTATGCACACCATCTGTTTTATATAAATTCTCTATTAAAAAAGAATTAACATCTCCCATTTTATTTCTTAAATTATTTATTCTTCTCGTAATTTTTTCATACCCAAGTAATTTATTTGATTATACCTTGTTTTAAGTCATAGAGCCATAAGGCTAACGCGCGCATAGATAAAAAATTAAACTTTTTTGGAGTTTATACACATTACTCTTATTTAATTTTATCATCTCGATATATAGAAAGGATACCTTTTATAAAATAGATTTCCTAAAGTCATCTGAGATTTAAGAAATTGAATCTTATTTTTACAGGGGGGATCAAGACTCAAGACTAGAACCGTAATTGAACTTTTCAGGTGTACAATTACATAATATAAGTTGCCAACCTAGTAGAGACTATGAACAAACTATATTTCGTTTATAATCAGACTGAAATCACAATTTCTTGCTTGGTTAAAACTTAAAAGCTGAATTTAGGAAAAGCATAGACTAAAGACATAATCAATACGGTTCTATCTTTATGAAAAATTCGAATGAAAGCTAAATAATTGGTTACTGAAATTTTATATTGAAACAGATACAAACTAATTCAAGTCATTATCTATTAAAAGGAGGGGTAAAAGATTCTTAGAGATACATTCTAATTGCTCACTCAAAAGTTTCATCATATGTGTACACACATTCCACTGATCACTTGTGCAAGAAACTCTTCTTTGGAAGCTTCGGTTTCTTTTGATTGTGATTCTGTCAAAGTTCACAAATATAAATCACCACATTAGCGGGGCTCACACAATAGGTAGATTAGATAAAACACACCCATCAGACATAGAATTACCTTATGCCTTCCAAGGGCATCGAAATCTGTCCTCTCCTTCCAATTGCTCTTCCGCAGTTTTATGGGTCGATTTCCAACATATTTACCTGGAAGAGGGTTGTATAAGTAACATTAGTAATGCAAAAGAATTAATTTAGTTTCAGAGCGCAGCGCAATAGTGCACCAACATAATATCAACAATGCTCTACTTATAAAACAAATATTACAATTTCATACGTTAAGTAATGTGATATATATAATATGAGATAATGTGATAAGTCATACAATTATGCCAAATAAATTGTCACAATACTGGATAAAAAANTAAAATGCATTTTTCATGAGCAATATATTTTAAGAGTAAACGACTTTTTCCCACCCAAATAATGGTCTAACAATACTTTCCCACCCAAAAAGTTACAAAATACAACTTTATTACCTACAACACAAATTCGTTAGTAAATTTTGTTGTGAAAAATGGCAGGATGGTCAAAAGTCCGTTATGAGTAAAGGCATGATGGTCAATTAACATTTTGAATCAAAATTTAAGATTCCACTTTGCTTGAAAAACAACAAACAACGAAGGAAGGTGACGATTCATGGCCAACGACTAACGAGTAACCAAGTGTCAGGGTTTGGGGGGTTTTGAAGAGGGGAGGTCGGAGGTTGAAAGGGTGGGAGAAGGTTGGTTGGGACAAATGGTTGAGCAGGTGGGGTGGTGTTGTCTGGTGAGGTCTGAGTTTTGGTTGGGGCAAATTGTCAAGCAAATGGTGTGTGCCAAGGTTTGGAAGTTGCGATGAAGGTTGGGGAAGGGGGAAAAACTAGAAAATTCACCTACAAACTCAACCAATTTAACACTTCTCAATACACACAGCAATCTCCTACCAATTTTTTGTCAAACCAACTCTACAAGCAACTGTTGGTGTTATAAAACGCAACCGTCGCGCGATGGCAAGTGCAGTTCTTGGACGGTAAACGGTGACTGGGGACATTCAATGGGTGGATGGTTTTGTTGAAGAGAGGATGGGTGTTCGAATGGTGGTGGCATGGGTGATTTTCGATGGAAAAGTTGATTGGAATCTGGCTTTGAAGATGGGAAATCGTGCTAAAAGGACAGTGGTCATTGGCCGACAATTGAAGGGTGCACCGATGTGAGAGTGAGAGGAGTTTGGGTGTGGGTGTGGGTGTGGGTGTGGGTGATGTGAATAGTTTGATGGAAGTGTCGAAGGGTTGCAGTGGTGCCAGAATCAGGCCAAATCTGACCTAATTTGGCATAGGCCTATTGGAGCCAAGAATACTATTCCTAGGAAATGAAAAGCACATAATCAATCGATGTCATATTAACAATACGGGAATAATTGACAATTCTACATCTTCTAAACTAACTCCAAAAATTAATATCCCTGAAAGGACAAGCCCCTAAAGAGGAAGAAATCTCTGAAGGAAACAAGAATATATTGAATAAATTTCTATAAACTATGCTTACTATAGAGAATCTGGAATTGTGAGACAACTATTGTCGATAAACATATTTTCATATGCAGTCTACTGAAATATGAATGATGAGTTTGAGCCACGTTCTGTTGATAATGTCAAAAGAAACATTACGCCAAAATGGGAAGAGGCAATTCAAGCAGAATTAACCTCACTAGCAAAATGTTGTATTTGGACCTGTAATCCAAATGCTTGAAAACATGAAACCCATAGGAATAAGTGGGTATTCACAAGGAAACGAAATGAGAAAAATGAGATTGCTAGGTATAATGCCAGACTAGTGGCTCAAGGTTTCCTGCAGAGACCTAGAATGGACTTTAATGAGACGTATTCACCAATGATGTGCAATCACATTTCAATACTTGATTAGTTTATCAGTCTCAAATGACTTGATATGCGTCTCATGGACGTTGTCACTGCGTATTTGTATTACACTAATACTTATATATATATGAAAATCTCTGAAGGATTCAAGTGTCAGAAGTAATAAAAGGAACATGTATTCAATAAATTGCAAAGATCGTTATATGGGTTGAAACAATCAAGACAATGTGGTATAATCATCTCAGTGAATATTGATGAAGGAAGGATACATCAATGATCCTGTTGCCCCTATGTCTTTATAGAAAGGTCAAAACTAGTTTGCAATTGTGGCAGTATATATCGATGACATGAACTTAATGCTCCTGAAGAGGTCAAAAGTTGCTGAATACTTAAAAAGAATTTAAATGAACGATCTCGGAAAACAAAGTTTTGTCTCGGCCTGCAGATCGAGCATTGTTCAGATGGAATTTTGCTCCATCCATCAAATTATACTGCAAAGATCCTTAAGCAATTTAATGTGGATAAATCTCACCCTTAAGTACCCCAATGTAGTTTAGTCTCTTGATCCTAAAAAAGATCATTTCGTCCTAAAGAAACGATGAAAAATACTTGGTCTTGAAGTACCGTATCTAAATGCATAAGCACTTATTATATTTGGCACAATGTACAAGACCAGACATAATTTTGCAGTGAATCATTGGCAAGATTTAGCTCTGCACCAACTCGCCGACATTGGAATGGATCAAACTGTCTTTCATTACCTTAGTGAAACAAAGACTTGGGATATTTATCCGGAAGTCTATAATGATCCTAAATTAGTTGGCTATAAAGATGTTGAGTACCTTTCTAATCCTCATAAGCGCACTCGCAGACGGGATATTTTTCACTTATATGGTACTGCAATACATGGGCGCTCAACAAAACAAGCATTGGTTGCCACTTCCTCCAACCACTCCAGACACTTGCGCTTCACGAGCCAGCTAAGAATGCATATGGTTAAGATATGTCATCTATCATATTAAAGTACATGCAAATTGTCATGTACCTCGATGCTCCCACAATTAATAATGAAGACAATGCAGTATGTATTGCTCAAGTCAATGGAGGATATATCAAAGGAGACATAACCAAGTATATCACAAAATTCTTTTACACACACATCCAGCAAAAATCGAGATTGATTTCAAACATTTGCGCCATTGATAACTTGCAGATTTATTCAAAGGCCTACTGACATCAACATTTGAAAAGTTAGTGTGTAAGATCGGTATGCGGGCGATCAATAAGTTACTATTAATTTCTACCATATGAGGGGGAGCATTGATCAAAAGAATCGATTAGGGGGAGTTTTTTCTTTAGAAAAGTTTATTGTACTGGACATATATGCAGGTACTGCTTTTTCCTTGTTCAGTTTTGTCCCATTGGTTTTCCTACAAGGTTTTTAATGAGGCAGTATGAAACGTCCAACTTCATTGTAGAGTTGTATTTCTTTACTTAGGTTTTTTTCCCACTGGGTTTTTCTCGAGTAAGGGTATACAATATTTGTAAATGTGGATGTCCAAGGAGTATTATAAAAGGTGAACCTCCACCATTACCTGGTGGTGGAGGTAACCTTTCAGTCGGTTAATTGGGGGGCTCTTTGGTTATAAATAGGGCTACAAGCAACGAAAGTTCGCAAACAACTCATTGTTTGTTCGATTACTGTTCGATAATGTTCGCGAACAGTTCAATAATATGTTGATCGAGTTCGAACAGGTTGTTCGTTCGATTATGTTCGCGAACATTATACGTTCGACAATCCATCCGTTCGCGAACAATCGTTCAATTTCGTTCGTTATGTTCAAAAACATGTTATGCATTATTATAATTTTGTTTTCATTTTTTATTGTGTTTGATTTAGTTTGGATGAATTTTTTTAATGGTAATCATAATAAAATATATGTACTTTTGTTTTTTTTATATATTAATATGTTTGGATTTATTTTTTTTCCAAATGTCATCATATTAAATATATAGTAATAGCATTTTAATTCAAAAGTAATAAATTATTAATACATAGCATGATAAATTTAATACATAATAGATTGTATAATCAAGTGATATATATATAATAATCCATAACATAATAGCTTCATTTTTTTTTTCCAAATGTAATCAATAATTAATATTTAAGATAGTATGTCAATTAATAAATAAAATATAGTATGGTAAATTGATAAACATAACATATTGTATAATCAAGTGATGTATAACATATCAAATTTAATAATATAATAGTTTAATTAAACTTAAATTAATCACACATTGTATTGATCATATATATAATAAACCCTCATACAATTATGAATTTATAGGTGTTGATACAAAATATATAGTAGATAGTAATGATACTATATATATATATATATATATATATATATATATATATATATATATAACAAATTAATCACACATATGTATTGATCATATATACAATAGATTTTCATTCCATTAAAATTTATGGGTGTTGATACAAATATATGTAAACATTTAAAATATTTATGATAATAATATGATAACCTATAATTTTGGTAATTCATAACATATTTAACCTATGATTAATATATGTATAATAATAATTTTGTCTATACACATACACATTATATATAACAAATTATCATACATTGTATTGTATAATTTAATGACCCTCATTTCACTATGAATTTATGGGTGTTGTACAAAATATATAGTAAACATTTAAATATAAGAAGTGCTAGTTTTAACAAGACAAATACAAAAGGGGCATACAAAGACAATCCCTACCCTTGATCTTCATGATTTCTCTCTCTCTCTCTCTTTCTCTTTTCCGTTTTTTCCTTCCTTTGTATAAGTCTTTGTAAGGATAGAAAAAACAAAGAAAAAGCGGAAAAAGAGAAAGAGAGAGAGAGAGAAATCATGAGATCAATGGTAGGAATTGTCTTTGTATGCCCCCTTTGTATTTGTCTTTGTAAGACTAGCACTTATCGGATAGCATTTTTCTTAAAAATTTTGATAATTTATGCAATGATAATAAATATATGATAACATATAATTTTGGTAATTTCATAACATATTTAATTTATGTTTAATATATGTATGATAATAATTTTGTACATACACAATTTATATATATATATAATATATGTTTTGAAAATCCAAAGTCCAAGTCGAAACCCACAATTTGTTTGAATGATTTATTATTCGTTTAATTTTTTTTGAAGTTTTATTATTTATGATGGTTAGTTATTTTAATTTACTTAGTTTTTATTGATTTATTTAAATATATATAAA